GAACGGCTGGAAGAACGAGCGCACACGCATCACTGAGTTTCTGGCATCCCTCGAAGAGCTGGAAGTCGCAGGTCACCTCATTCACCCGGCACTTATCGAAGACGAAGAAAGGAAAGCATCTTTCAAGGTCCCAGACGGATGGGTTGTGTCAAAGGTCGACAAACTTGAGGACGGCGACGTACCCGAATCGGAAATCGAGACAGGTAGCGTCACGGCCGGGCGTGAATGTCTGGCACTGGACTGCGAGATGTGCATGACAGGCGAGAACGAATACTCCCTTACACGCATCAGCATCATCACTTGGTCCGGCGATGTCATTATGGACGAGCTGGTCAAACCCGAAAAGCCCATCATCGACTACGTCACGAGGTTTTCCGGTATCACAGAGGAGATGCTGAAGCCTGTAACGACGACTCTTCAAGACATTCAGAAGAAGCTGCTCGAAATCGTTACACCGCGAACAATTCTGATTGGACACTCGCTCGAGTCTGACCTCAAAGCGCTTCGTTTCTCTCACCCCTTTATTGTCGATACCTCGCTCATCTACCCTCACCCACGAGGACCGCCGCTTAAATCGTCACTCAAGTGGCTCACTCAAAAATATGTCAATCGCGAGATTCAGAAGGGCGGTGCTAATGGACACAACCCGATCGAGGATGCTAAGGCGTGCCTCGACCTTGTGCGCCAAAAGTGCGAGAAGGGAAGGCTATGGGGTGCGTCTGACTCTCAAGGCGAAAACCTCTTTCGACGCCTGGCAAGAGCCGGCACAGCATACAAGGCCCAGGGCGGCGACGTTGGCGGTCAAGTCACCGGCAAGACCAGCGCAGCGGTAGACTGGGGTGATCCGTCCAAGGGACCCGGTGCCGGCGCGACGCATCAGATCGGCTGCAAGTCGGATGCGGACGTTGTCAAGGGCGTGATTCGCGCTGTTAATGGCGACCCAGATGGCTTGGAAATCCCCGGTGGCGGCGTGGACTTCGTCTGGGGTCGCATGCGCGAACTCGAAGCACTTCAGGGCTGGTGGAACAGGAATCGGGTCGAGAACGCCAGCAGCGATGGTGGCCCTCCGGACATCGATTCTGCGGAGCTCGATCCCAACCTCGGCAGTTCAGACCTCGAGAGATGTTTGGCTCGTCTCTCAGCCCGGTTGCAGGCCATTCACGATAGCCTCCCACCTTGCACAGCATTCATCGTGTATTCGGGGTCTGGAGATCCGCGCGAGATGAGCAGACTGCAGGCGATGCAATCCCAGTGGAAACGAGAGTATAACACGCCCGGAAAGAAGTGGGATCAGCTATCGGTCAAGTGGACGGACACAGAAGAGCAAGCTCTTCGACGCGCCGTTAAAAAGGCCAGACAAAGCGTTGGCTTCATTGGTGTGAAATGAGCAGGCCAAGAGGGATGGTTTTGCAGAAAGACTCCCATCCTGGAAGTTATCCCTGTTCAGATGAGAGTCTAGGCGGTATAGCATAGACGGTCCATAGGACTTCGGGAGGAGGATGTCGTGCACTAAAGCGGCTGATGGCTGTTTACAACTGAATGATACCCCTAGGTTTGTCATAGAGGCGGAAATATGTGCTAGTGTAAAAAGAACTGGGGCAATGAGAAAGCCCAGGATAGTCTTATGAAGAAACGAATTAGATAGTCCTCGGTTCTGTAACTCCTTCAGACGAGACTCCAAAACTCAACGCAGAAGGGCTTCACCTCATTTCTAAAAGCCAAACCAATTCGAGGCACGCAGCGCAGCTCCTGGTGGCAGTGAAGTGTTTCCTCTTGTATCCATGCACAGCTCACATGCCGCCGCATCGGAATTCCACGTCCTGTTCAGCCAGGGTCCACACCGGTGCCACTGCGCTTATCCGTCGCAGATGCTCTGTGATTGGCTCCCCCGCCTCCGGCTGCGGAGAAACAGCCAAGCCCGAGCCCCACGCCGGCCTGCCTCGGTATGTTCTCGGAGACTCAAGTGAGTGGTGGTGCTCCAATTACAAACCATCCACCCTACCTGCTGGTTCTTCTCCAACTCGACCGACAACGCGTACCACATCCTCTACTCCTCAGACGCCACTCGAGCCGACGCTACCTGTCTCTACGCTTGCGGTTGTGCACTTCGACTGCACGTTGCACAAACCTGACCTCTTACCGACACATCTTCAGCTACCCACGGCACTGTCACCATGTCGTTCCTAGGTGGCGCAGAATGCTCAACCTCCGGCAACCCCCTCAGCCAGTTCCAGAAACACGTCCAAGATGACAACACTCTCCAAAGAGACAGACTGGTGCAGAGAGGGCCGAACGCTCTTGCTGGCGGCTTCAGGAGCGCCGGCGCAAGCACTCCACAGGATGAGGTGGGCAGACCCCGCGCTCCCGGAGTTGCACTTTGGGCTGACCGATATTATAGATGATGAACGGATTCCTGAACAAGGGACCCGGCCTTCAACAAGAGATCCCAATGCCGAACGGCGCGGTCCAACTAAATCCTGCGCAAGCCGTCCACCTCCGCGCGAACTCGACCTCCCCAACGTGGGCGAACGACTTCCAGAACCAGGCTGCCATGGAGTCCGCCTTCAATGCTCCTCCCGGCACACAATTCAGCCCCGAAGAATTTTCACGCTTCCGGCAGATGAACCAGCAGCCTTCGTCGGCCAGGGCGAGTCCGATGCCCAGCCAAATGGCGCAGCAACCGAGAATGGGAATGAACATGGGGATGAATATGGGTATGGGCTACAACAGCATGATGGGTCCATCCATGTTCCAGCCCATGTATCAGCAACCTATGCACCAGCAGCCGCAACAGGACGTTAAGGGCAAGGGAAAGCTGGTTGAGCTTGATGATAACAAATGGGAGGAGCAGTTTGCGCAGATGGAGTTGCAAGAGAAGGAAGACCAGGAGGCCAAGGCAGCCGAGCCAGAGCTTGACGAAATGGACAAAGCCATGGAATCAGAAACTGGTTTTGGTGACTTTGAGTCAATATGGAAGGGAATCGAGGCGGAGACAGCGGCGGCTAGAGGCATGGTTGACGACTCGACATTCGATAAGTTCGACAGCGAGGATTGGGGTCCTGATTTCACCGGTATGAGCAGCGACTGGGGCCGGCTTGGCGACCCGGTGGTGGAGAACTACCTTTTCGAGGAAGACAACTTCTTCAGCGAAGAGAAGAACGCCTTCGACGAGGGTGTTCGCATCATGCGTGAGGGTGGAAACCTGTCTCTTGCGGCGCTCGCCTTCGAGGCTGCGGTCCAACAGAACCCAGAGCACACCGAGGCTTGGGTGTACCTCGGCTCAGCACAGGCGCAAAACGAAAAGGAGACAGCAGCTATTCGTGCTCTCGAACAGGCCCTCAAGCTAGACCCGAACAACTTGGCTGCTCTCATGGGCCTAGCTGTTTCTTACACCAACGAGGGCTATGACAGCACCGCCTACCGCACCCTCGAGAGGTGGCTGTCCGTCAAGTACCCCAACATTATCGCCCCGAAGGACCTCCATCCCATGGCTGAGATGGGCTTTACAGACCGTCAGCAACTGCATGATAAGGTTACTAGCCTTTTCATCAAGGCGGCACAGTTGAGCCCTGATGGCGAACATATGGATCCTGACGTGCAAGTCGGTCTCGGAGTACTCTTCTATGGTGCTGAGGAGTACGACAAGGCCGTTGACTGCTTCACTGCGGCTCTCCACTCTTCCGAACTCGGAACGTCGAACCAGCAAGAGCAACTACACTTGCTCTGGAACCGTCTGGGCGCCACGCTTGCTAACTCCGGCCGCTCCGAGGAGGCTATCGCGGCGTACGAGAAGGCGCTTAGCATCCACCCCAACTTCGTGCGTGCGAGGTACAATCTGGGTGTCAGCTGCATAAACATTGGCTGCCACGCTGAAGCTGCTTCCCACTTCCTTGCTGCGCTCAACATGCACAAAGCTATCGAGAAGAGTGGACGCAACATGGCGTACGAGATTCTTGGCGGCGGCGACGGTGCCCGCGGCGGCACCAACACTGCTGCCCTTGACGAGCAGATCGACCGCATGACGGCGCAGAACCGGAGCACCACTCTGTACGACACGCTCCGCCGGGTGTTCACTCAGATGGGCCGCCGGGATCTGGCCGACAAGACCGTTGCAGGTGTTGATCCTGAGATCTTCAGGGGGGAGTTTGACTTCTGATCTGTGGCATTCATGTGTCAGGGTTGTACAGTAGTGAGGACCTGACGTTGGCCGCTTGCAACGCCATGTTGGGTTTGGATGAGAAGCGAATGAGAATACGTCTTACGAGTACCGGGTCGCCAAGTAGATATCTATCGCATAATTTCACAAGTACATAGTACTTGGGGTCGGGGAAGGACGTTCATTTCAAAAGTTTATCCCACTTGAGTACTGGTTCATCCTTTCGATCTCAACGTTTTTACAGTGAACAAACTTAAGCATGCCATGTGATTGTTCAGCCAATTCCCTCCATACGACGTTCGAAAAGCGTTCATTGTGCATAATGAGCCAGTCTTCCGGTGGCCATCTTTTGCATCGAACCCTATTGGTGAACGTGGACGCAGAAAAGAGTGTCTTGTACATCCGGACGACGGTGCCCGTCCCCGACGGAGGCGGAGACGATTACCGGGCGGGGCCGGGGGGACAAACCCGCCCACTGTAACTCAGCGAATGCCCGCTACGAAACAAAAACGTGCTCAAACTCACAACTATTGACTTGGCACCCAATCTGATGCTACCGCAAAACTGTCAATCTCTTGTGCCACAAAAACCTCAGGACCAGAGTTAACTGTAGAAAACCTCTTCACGCTTCTGAAGCTTAGTTGAGTTCAAACTCATACGACTTCTCTAGCAAGCTCAGAGAAGCTTCCAGTGGGCCGCTCAGAAGGGTCGCGGTTGTACCCGGAGGATCACATCCCTGGGCAATCTCATCGAACGGAGTACTCCTTGTTTATAAGTGTCTTCATTCACCTCCACTCAGACATTCCCTGTCACAGACACGCTCAACGGATTTTCTTTGGCGAAAATGGGCTTCATCCTCCAGACCGGCGTCTTGTTCGCCGTCATCCTCGCCGTGGGCCTGCAGCTCGTGTTGAAAGACCCCATTAAGCTGGGTCTCGGTCTCGGAAAGACGTTCCAGCCTCTCTCTGACTTTCCATACTCGTGCCGTCGCATCGAGGACACCAGGCTGCAAGCATGCGAGGACATGTGGCTGTCGGAGGCAACGCGCACGCTGTTCCTGGCCTGCTCCGACTCCCTGGCCCGTCAGCAGTGGATGCCCAAGTAAGCCGATCCCCACCCCCGAGACATGCAGCCCGCGCTGCCGGAGGCTGACTCCAGTCCCCAGCGGTCATCACTTCAACATCTCGGGCCGCTCCACCCGGGATGCTGTCGTCGCTTTAGACATCGACAAGCCCAAGGATGAGGGGTTCGAGTACCGCGCTCTTTCAACGCCCGGCTTCTCTGGTACCGCCGGCGATGGCTTGCTTCAACTTGTGGGTTTGACGGGCATTGATGCATCGGAGGACGGCAAAGTTGAGCTTCTCTTGGTCAACAACCGCCCTCCGGTAGATGCTGTCACGGGCGAGCTGCTCAAGGAGGCCAATGAAGGCGCCAATGCTACAATCGAGGTGTTTGAAATCGCCCCCGCGGCGACGGAGATGAAGCACATCCGCACGTTTGCTAATGCTAACATCTCCACGCCAAACAACATCGCCGCCCTCTCTAGCACTTCGTTTTACTTTACAAACGACAGTGGCGACAAGAAGAGGGGACTGGTGAGATAGCGGGTTGCCCGTCGGCTAGTGCACTACTAACATTCTCATCACAGGGATTCTTCCTGAGCGGTTTCTTTGGTCACGGCGATGTGTCCTACTGCTCTACTGAAGGATGCAAGCGCATATCGACGCACCACAGAATGCCCAACGGCCTGGTCCGCGGCCACGACGGGCTCATCTACGTGCCCAGCGCCTTGGCCGGCGGCGTCCAGGTGTACAGGATCAACCCGGAGACGGACGGGCTGGTCAAAGTCGCCGACATCCCCGTGCCCTACGTCATCGACAACCTGTCCGTGGACGGCAAGGGGGACATCTACGCCGCGGTGTTTCCGCGCGGGATAGAGATTCTACAGGCCTCCGAGGACCCGCTGAACGCCAGGCCGAAGAGCGCTGCGGTGCGAATTCGCAAGGAGACCGACGGCGAGTACGTGTGGGAGAAGGTGATTGAGGACGGTAAAGGGGAGTTGCTTCCTGGTTCCACTACGGTGGTTCACGATGCGAAGACCGGAAGGTTGTTCTTTGGCAGTAAGTGGACGTGAGTTTTCCCACTATGAATTAAGGCTGACTATCTCAGGTGTGACTTCGCCATTTATTGCTGTGTGTGAGCCGAAGCCTTGAGGGTTTGGAAGGGGTTTCGTATCTGTATTAGTTTGGCCCAACTCTTCTCACATTCCTGAATTGGAGTAAGTCTGTTCAACCCAATATTGCTGTTATAGAAGGACGATATGACGTGAATTAAAGCGACGGCTGAAATTGGCTTTGGACACTTTCAAACCAGCCACAATTCACTCAATGGCTTGCATGTGATGCTATGACACAAGCACGTCCACCTAAGATGACAGAATCGAGGTTCAATGAAGACAGTCGAGAAATGATGCACGAATTGCGAATTATGTTGGTAACCTTGTCACAACTCAATTGCGATTCGGCAAGCAGATTGCAGAAGCGGAAATGATACAACTTGAAGCATGTGGCAGTTGGAGGTGGCCCCGTTTTCAGAGTGCCAGCCACGGAGTCAGCAGCGCCAAGTCGCAGAGTCAAATTCACATGGAATTCGATACCACGTGGGAGACAGTGACCGAGACAACTGACTCTTGTATCTGCAGTACTCCATCTCACTGTCCATAACATACTTGCATGCAAAAGACGCCATTATCGTCCCGAGAGCTGAATGTGAGGAAGATGAGGTGTTGAAGGGTCACTGGCAATACCGTCCCATGTTTTCTCAGTCTTCCCGGGTACCAACACCCCTAATAAGTGACACAGCATCTGAGTTGTCGTCCTGTCACAACTCGCAGGCTGCATCACATGCAAAAAAAAAAAAAAAAAAAAAAAAAAAAAAAAAAAAAAAGGAGCCCGCAGCAATCCAAGACCTTCCCCGGACGGGCATCCCTGGGGACGGATTAGCGCCATCTCAACCGTGCGTCATAGGGACCTGTGGGGGAGCCGGGGGGGCTGGTACTCCTGAAGCGACAGCTCCAGCGCAAATCCACAGCGTGTCGTGCCGCAGCGCAGCGGCAGCGTGACTCGCCCAGAGCCGAAGCCATGGACATCCGAGGTACACCTGCCGCACCTGGGGTGTCCCAAGGTCCCAAAAGTCCGTCACTCCATCCCGTCCGTCTGCCGTAATCGACCACGTCCGCCGTGGCTTTTCTCTCTCCCCGACAACCTCACACACCCTTCCCTTCGCATGCGCAATTTGACCGATTGATCTTTGCATTCTTTTTCTGTAATTGCAGCATTTTATCCCTGAAGACCCATGCGCTGAGCGGAAGAGTGCCAACTCAAGAGCGACCGTTCGTCGTCGCAAACACCATCATTTCCCTACAGCGAGCTGCGATTTGCCGAGGCTAGCCAGGCCACCCCCGTTCTTGTTGCCAACATGTCGCTCGCCGCCCTCGATGGCCTCAAGGTACGATTGCGAATGCATTGTCAAATCAATTCTGCCTTCGTTCGGCCCCGAATGCTAACGCGCAACCCAGGCCGCGATCGAGCGCATCATCCTCGACCCCAAGTATCACGACATCCTCGCCGTCGTCAAAGGCGCCCGCAATGGCGCTGTCTACGGCACCAAAGTCCGCTTCCCCCACGCGCTTGTGTACGTCGCAGTACCCGTTCCAGATCCGCAGCATTGTGAGCATAGCTAACATTCTTCCTTTGACAGAATGATCTTCCTCTTCCGCTCCGGAACGTACGTCTACCTCCCCGCATGTCTCTCCCCCCGAACCCATCGTTAACACCCTTCTCCCTCACAGCTTCCAACAAAAAGCAAGCCTTGTATTCAAAGCCACCCGAACCCACGCCCGCAACCTCGCAAAGTTCGCGACAATCTACAAGGGCACAATGTACCTCCTCAAGCACTACGGCCCGACCCCGGGCAAGGAGGGCCCCTACGACTCCTTCTTCGCGGGCCTGTTGGGCGGCTACCTCGTCTTCGGCGGCCGCTCCCCGCGGACCGGCAAGATCTCGAGCGTCAACCAGCAGATTGTCATCTACGTCTTCGCCCGCGTCGTCCTCGGCCTCGCCCGCCTCGCCGTCGTTCCCGGCAAGGGTCTCCCCGTCGTTAGCCGCGAGGACCTGTCCGCCAAGATCAGCTACTACGCCTGGCCCGTCTTCGCGAGCACCAGTTGGGCCATGGTCATGTACCTCTTCCGCCATCACCCGGCCGATCTGCAGCCCAGTCTGCGGAGCAGTATGAATTACATTTACGTACAGAGCAGCGAGTGGGACTCGCTCCGGAACTTCATCTGGCATAACAAATAGACGGACAGGGGCGTAGGAGATATACCACCACGATGAGATTTTGGATGCCTGCAATCACCTTTGGCGCTGTTCTGTATTATGAAGGCAAGGGTTGGCGTTTGGAGGAGGTCTTTTGGACGGTTGGCTTTCTACAGTCATGGGGGGAACGGATGTCCCTGCCCGCACATCGGAGGCAATGTTGTTCTATTTCTACAACTTCATGACGTGGCGTTATAGACCAGTCTTATCTACTATACACAATAACGAGTTTGACTTGGATCGGCTTGCGCCAGACGCCCCGGTCTATCTATATATGCTTCCACCCGTTCTCCCACATGATCTGCATCTCGTTGATGAGACACATTTCCCCCGGCTCACTTCGCGGCAACTCACTCGGCGGCGTCTCATCAACCCACTGCCGCAGCTTCTTCTCAACCGCCCACCGCTCCAACCTCAGCTGGATACCATTTCGCACCCTCAGATACCTGTTCGCCCAGAATCCAACCACCGCAGCCCACGCCGTCGGGAACCGGTCCATCTTCGTCTGCTCAAACACCTTCTCATTGTACCCCACGCGCACATTTGGGTTCAGCCATACCCCATTCTTGCGACTGAGAGGGTTATCCGCATGAATCAGGCAACACTCCGACCCCTCCAGGTGCATCGCCGCAAGACTGTCCTCGACACCGCGGAACCGCAGTCTCTCGTCATAAAATGGCGCCGCATCGAACACGACCATGCCGTTCCAGCACGACTTCACCTCCACGGGCTCCATCGTCTCCGCAGATGCTCGCGCGCGCGGACTGTGGAACCACGGCCAGTACCACGACGCCGTCTTCAGACCCGCGTCGTCGCGCAGCGCAAAGGTGTCGTAGTAGTACGGCCAGAGGATGAAGTCCATGGCGCACGCGGCGGCGTAGGCGCCACCGCGGGTGCCCAGCAGCATGTGCACCTCGCGCGTCTCGAAGACGACGTCGTTGAGCCAGATGACCTTGTCGAACCTCCTGTCCTGCGAGGCGAGGAGCTCGGCCAGGGGATCCATGGCGCGGTTGCGCTCGCGGGCGAGGTATGTAACGCGGCGCATGTCGAATTGGTTCTCGTGGGGGTTCCATGTCCATCCGGGCGGCGGCGGGCCGAAGCCGGAGGACGGCGGAGGCCGGTCGTGGATCTCGGCGAGCTGTTCTGGGGCTGTCTTGCCGAGGATGATGGTGTTTGAGACGCCCTTGGCGTTGAGATGCTCCTGGAGGGAGGAGAGCCTGGCTTTAGTGTCGTCCTTGGAGCCGGACTCGACGGCGGAGAAGTGCACGCGGTCGGGACCGAGGTAGTCGACGAGCTTGAGTATGTTAGAGGATACGGGATGGGCTAGGAGGGCCCCGTTGTTTCGGTGGATGCTGGCGATGAAGAAGGTCTCATTGCCGGGGTGCCGGGAGGGGATAATGGCCGGGTAGTCGGTGACGGGGCGGTTGCGGATGATGAGATAGGCGTCTAGGGCGAGGAGGAGCAGACACATGTGGAGGAGGGAGGTCCGCTTCAGGCGGCGGATGGGGAGAAGCATGACATCTGGTGTAAGATGTTCGGATGGGATTCAGAGGAAGGCGAGTTAGTGCACATTGAGGATAGTCATCTGTTTGATTTGGTCTCATCCAAGGCAGATAGCATTGCCTGGCCTATCGGGAGCCTCAACTCGAGCACTGGGTGCCAGAACTCTAGGACTCTAGGATGATGCGAGGGATCGATACACTTGACGGACTATGAAGCTATCACGAGCCTCAGATGCGAGTCGCACCAAGAAATGCCAAGCTCATTTCCTACCCGCAGCGGAATGTACCCCTGGCCAAGTGCGGAGTGCATTTCCGCGTCTGCAAGGAAGCGGGTCATGTTGGTGAGGTACGTGCATCGTGGCGCACGTGGCTGACGCAGCAAGTCCAGGATATTGCCGACGCCACATCGGTATCTGAATGCCGAGAATCAGGGTGCGGCGGTGAAGATTTCGATTAGTCTACAGGCCCGACCTGGCCTTGCATCTTCTTACGAATCAACCAACACTTTTTGTCTGCCCATTCAAACTTGCAATTTTTACGTACAGGAACCAAGCCTCGACCCCGGCAACGGCGCCGTCTGATTACTTGAGCAGAGTTGGCATAAATTTCTGATCGGTGGCAGAACCCTGAACCATCCCCACCAGGACTCATGACAACGAACCAGATGGCAGAAAGCCCACGACAAGCCTCACATTTCCAGCTCTAGCCTCGACGAGTTTCAAAGGGTTGGGCTTGTTCCCGGCCAAATCCCGAAGTCGGCATGCAACCTGCGTGTTTCTTCCTGTGAAAGTGGAGACACTCGACCGGGCCGTTGCATGCTCCCCTCGTGGCATTTCTCAGCACGTCAGAACTTTTCCCCGAGTTTAAAGTTGTTATCGCACTTTCAGCCTCTAGCAGCATGCAGGGCGTAATAGAAAACGGCTCATCTGCTGCTCGGTTTCCAGCACCAAGACCCTGGTCCCTTGATACTGTAGACGTCACTCCCGTTTCTCCAGAACACCAATTCTCCACCTCGGCCCCGTCCCGTTGCCTCGCAGTCTCTTTGACATCGTACTATCGGATTTCTAAGCAAGTTGCTGCCAACGTGGCTAGAGGTCCCCGTCCACCTCCATGATTCGCTACTTCGAAGTTTTCTCCCTCAGTCTTCTGCAGCATGTCGCCAGGAACGTGTCCCCCTCTGCGGGGGCCACAATCTTTCGTGTAGTCGAGTGACTTGGGTTTGTTCGAGAACGTTGGCTTTTGCCAGGAACCCGCGGTTTGCGCCTCATGACAGGGCCGAACCGCTCATACGGACGGCCTCACTGAGCTGAGCGTCGCGGACCACAGGTCTTCTTTCGGTTTCACCGCTCGGAGGATGGAGGGGCGGAAGGGGGGAGAAGAAAGAATGGGGCCTCTTCCCCCGAGAAGTTCAGAGAAAGTCTGGCCGGACCCGCTTCCCGAGTTGTCGCCGTGTGGTGGTCCATCACGGGCCCCCCAAACTTCCCAATTTCTAAGCTGCCCCTCCATGGCAAGAGAAAACTTCTTCGCCCAATGGATCAACAAACTCATGCGGGCAGATCTGTGGTGGGGGCCTGTTGCCGAGGATCTCTTGACGATGGTGGGACTCTCCAGATGCTTCTACGGCGACACTCCTTGGGTGGGCTGTTTGTTGACTTACACGATGTTGTTCAGTCGCATAAATACCCTCAACCCTCCCGCTTCAAGTGAAAAGAGAGTTTAAAGAGCCAGACACATCTTCAACACAGTCTCCTGCATCATACTTCTCACAAGCTCAATTATTTGACAACTCTTCTCTCTTGATACCCCTTTTGTTTCTTCACTTCCAGTTCGTCCACCAGAAACACCGCTACAATGGCCGCCGAGAACACCAAGCTCTTCCAGCCCCTCAAGATGGGCAAGATGGACCTCGCCCACCGCGTCGTCATGGCCCCCCTCACCCGCTACCGCGCCGACGACGACGGCGCTCCGATCCTCCCCATGGTCGCCAAGTACTATGCCGACCGCGCCTCCACCCCGGGCACCCTCCTCATCAGCGAGGCCACCGCCGTCTCCGCCGCCGACATTGGCGACCTCAACCTCCCCGGCTTCTCCACCGAGGCCGAATGCGCCGCCTGGAAGCAGGTCTTTGACGCCGTCCACGCCAAGGGCAGCTACATCTTCCAGCAGCTCTGGTCCCTCGGCCGCGCCGCCGACCCCGACTTCGTCAAGGGCCGCGGCTACAAGTACTGCTCCTCCTCCGACGTCCAGATGACCGGCCGCCCCGTGCCCCCCGAGCCCCTCACCGAGGACGAGATCTGGGTCAAGATCAACGCCTGGCGCGACGCCGCCAAGAAGGTCGTCGCCGCCGGCGGCGACGGCGTCGAGATCCACGGCGCCCACGGCTACCTCGTCGACCAGTTCACCCGCGATTCGGCCAATAAGCGCACCGACAAGTGGGGCGGCTCCGTCGAGAACCGCGCCCGCTTCCTCCTCGAGATCGTCAAGGCCTGCGTCGAGGAGATCGGCGCCGAGCGCGTCGCCCTCCGCCTGAGCCCCTTCGCCACCTTCCAGGAGTCCTACAGCACCGACCCGGACACCTGGGAGCAGACCATCTACATCATCCGCGAGCTCAAGAAGGCCGGCTACAAGCTCGCCTACATCTCCCTCGTCGAGGCCGTCGGCAACCCCGTCAACCTCGGCATCGTGCCCCGCCAGCCCACCGACGACGTCCAGCCCTTCGCCGAGGACCGCCCCCAGACCCTCGACTTCATCCTCGAGGAGTGGGACAACATCTCCCCCGTTGTCGTCGCCGGCGGCTACCTCGGCGACAGCGCCCGCTGGGCCGTCGACGAGCGCTACAAGAAGTGGGACGTCGCCGTCGCCATTGGCCGCTACTTCATCTCCAACCCCGACCTCGTCTTCCGCGTCAAGAACAACATCCCTTTCACCCCCTACGACCGCTCCACCTTCTACCTCAAGAAGAGCAACGAGGGCTACAACACTTGGGAGTTCTCCGAGGAGTACGTCAAGGCCAACGGATCCGCCTAAAGGGATACATATGATAATATGATCAGATACGTGGGCATCAAGGCATAGCACTGGAGTTTGGGTTTGATTTTTAGACACACATATACCGTATAGAGACAATTACATTTCTCTTTTCTCTTGAATGGGGTCTTTTATGCCTGTGAGGTCAATATGCAAGTGGGCAATTTCTTGATGTTTCAGAGGCGTATCGTGGATAATTCAAGTTGCTATCGCGATTGGCTTATTCAGGATGCGGTATTAGTCTGTGAGACTTGGTGCTGTTCATACATCAAGTACATTAGCCGCCACGTGAATCGAAGAATGGCGCCGTACTCGTGTGTCGTCGGATACCAAGCATCCCAACAACGTCAGGGGCAAGTACGTACAAGTGTACTGGAACTAAACTCATTACCAGTACGAGCAACTAATCCTCTCGCGGAGACCGTTCACTTTGTTGCTGGGCTCTTCCGAGAC